AGGTTCTGTGGCCCACGTAGGCGGATAATTACCGCGACCTCTCGCATCCAATCCTTGGCATCCCGGTGGCTCTCCGTCCATATATTCCCAAGCTGCAAGGCCCGCCCATCTCACACACACGCCTTCGCGTCCACGTAGATCCAAGAGCCGCGCCGAAGAGGGGTACGGGTCTGCAGTGCGGGTAGAGGGAGGGTGTGTGTATGAGAGAGCGAGCGTGAAAATTGCGAGGCGCACAAAATAAGGGAATTAACAGACGAAGAACATAAAGGACGATGTGCGCGGTTAGGCTACACAGCAGTGCCGACAAAGGGCACGGGTGAAGAGCGCGCAGGGTGCATAATACCACTGGCCTGTGATGGGAGAGCACAAGTGAAAGGGCGTCGGGAGAGTATGAGGCGAAAGGGCGCGGAAACGCTACAGCTGGCCACATAATTGAAACTTGACGGGCGTTTGTGGGACGAAAGGAAGCTTTGTTTCGGGTAGGTGTGAAAGGGGTGGGACGAGGTGAGGTACAAGGGAAAAGGGACGCCCGCGCGACTGGTGTTAGGGCAGAACGAGATTCTCTACACTCTTCAAATGATTTTGAGCATACCTCGGTGAACCATGCCAACGAGAGATTTCTAGGTGGCAAAAAGTGAGCGGGTTTTGCTTCAAACTTTGAATGGCAAGCCGGTGCACGCACGCCCGTGTACGACGGCGATAGGATCGAGGAATATAGTACGCTTCCTCTTCTCCTACTCTACTCCCTCTCGTTGATTGATATACACATATCTCCTGCATGTTACCTCTCTCTCTCTGCCCTCTAGAAAAAAGCACACTAGACACACCGCAAAGCACTTTGCTCACCAGTTGTCACCACTCAGCAGGAAATCCGCGTGCCTCTGTTTGTCTTCTGTTGCCTCGTGTCGGTGAGGAAGAGTGAGAGGGCACCGGCGAAGGAAATAAGTGGCAGATCGGGAAAGCATTGTGAAAATAAGAAGCTACGACAATTCAATACTCGGACATCCATAGCTGTGTCAGAAAACGGCCAATCGCCCGAAACGTATAAGGTTTTGGTAGTAAGGAAGAGCTCACCGAAAATGACTTTGCAAAACCACACGTATAATGAGCCACGGAAGAAAACTATAAGCTGGTTCAGACACCTGCCTACTCACAGTGAGCTAGCTACAACCAGACGGAGGCGTGGTGTTTTCCTACGGGGCAACGCAGAGGTGGACGAAATATTGTTTGAGGAGGAATTCAGGTGCCCCAACTCAACATAGGGGCAGCAAGCTTTCCGAGGCCAACAAAAAAAAACCGGAATATAAGACCACACCGGAACAGGGGAACTTTACCTTCTCTGCTTTCACAGACATGAGCTGCCCCCCGCCTGAAAAGGACAAGAATCTCTGCCGACCAGCAGCGGACCCCAGCGCGCGATCTAGCCGCGCCGAAAAAGGGACAGGTCGCGCTGGCGTACTTCTTGCGAAGGAGAGCGCGACAAGGGCGCGAGAATGGGAGAGTTACCAGAGACTGAGAGAGAGAGTTGAATCTCAGTGAAATAAAGTGGAATGGGCAAGCCGCGGCTACAACATGACCCAACCACACGTAGCCGATGACAGTAAGCCTTGACTAGGGTTACTCTGAAAAAATCTGGTCCCGTCTTGCTCACGACTCCTAAATTCTCCATGAACAATACGCGCACAACACAAAAACAAGACAGAGCCACAGCAGTTCGAAAATACGTGTGTCGGATGCCTTCCTACGCGGGAATGCTGTGATACGCCAAACAGGTACGGAGAGGTCAGCATCAGCATGCCTTGTCACGTGGAGTGTACTCGAGACTAGTTTAGGGTTCCCTTTGACCTTGCACTTTGCACGGAGAGTCGAGATGGGTATCTGCAGGGCAACGGCACACCTCCAACGCACCTTTCTGTGTTTTACCTTCTTAATCCTGAGTCTAAGACCTCCAGTGACATAAATCAGCAGCATCGCAGTAGCAGCAGCAAAAAGGAGCGGGGCAAGAGACACACGAGCTTGATCCGCACCCCACTCATGCTTTGTCTGTGCCTTTCATCTCCGCTGTATTTATCCTTGTAAGCGATTAGGTCAAACACATACACACGCGCACGCACGTACCATTGTACCACACAGAGCGAGATTATTCACAGCTGCCATCGCTTCACACCCCGTCGCGTACCTTTCTTCCGCCGTGGATGCGTGCCGCTAGATGGGAGGAAGCAGAGAGAGATGTAGGCGACAGCACACAAAACGCGGCGGAATTACACACGGTGACGCCGACAGCGCCGACGCATGTACTGGGCGGTACTAAAGCGCCGAGAGAGGAAAAGGGGAAGAGACGGGGTGGAGACAGAGGGCACGAGAGGAGAAAGCTTGCGCGAGTGGGTGAAGGAGCGAGAGTGGTTTGGAGTACTGGTGCAGAAGGTGAGAATCATCCTGGAGGCGTCTTGCCACACATCGCAACAATTGATACCTGGAGGGACCAGAGAGAGCAAACTGCGTCTGTCTCTCTTTGTTCATTTGTTACACACGCACATCGTTGGGCCAGCGCCGCATCTCCTGTTGGTCGACAGACCAGTCTTTCGATATGGAAGGGAGAGGGAGGGTCAAACAGCTTTTGAGTGTTGAGTAGGTTTGTCGTACTTGCACAACCTCTTTCATGTTCATTTCGGCAAGAAGCTTAGGCTGAACAGCTCTTTGATCCCGCTCTCCCATCAAAGCAACATTTGATGGATCGACGAAAGAGAGAGAGACCAAAGTTCGAACAGCCATGATGTGTCCGACGCTTGGTCGCACGCACCGAACCTCCTGTCGTTCTTCAAACAGCATTTTTGACACCGTGGAGAGAGAGAGAGCAAAATTCGAATCCTGTGATGATGAGCGCGACAATTTGGCGCGTACGCAAGAAGCACCGATCCCCCTCTCGTTTCTTCCAAACAAGCTTTTCACGCATGGGCGAAAGAGAGAGAGTAAAGTTCGAACGGCCACGATGTGTCCGACGCTTGGTCGGGCGCCCAAGGAGCGCCAATGTTCCGTTCGTTCCACAAACCAGCAATTTTTAGTATGCGAGAGGCAGAAACCAAAGTTCAAATAGCCATGACGTGTCAAATCGTGTCTCGCGCGTAAGGATCGCCGATCGTGCTCTCGTTTCCAAACCAGCTTTTTTTTTATCGGGGAAAGGCAGAGAGCAAAGTTCGAACACTATGACGTCCCACGCTTGGATCGCGTGGGTAAGGATCGCCGATCGTGCTCTCGTTCCACCAAGCAGCTGTACAACATCGGGGAGACGGAGAGAGCAAAGCGAAAAGCTATGATGTGTCCTCTCTCGTTTGCCAAACCTTCTTTTTGCAAGTCAGAGAGGAAGAGCGTAGTTCAAACAGCCGTGATGAGCCGACGATTTATCGCGCGCACGCAAGAAGCACCGACCCCTCGCTCGTTTTCCAACCATGCTGTGCATAAGTCAGAGAAGGAAAGAGGGCAGTCAAACAGCCATGATTGATGTGTCCGTCGCTTTGCCACGCGAACAAGTAGCATCCCACTCAGTTTGTTCTTGAAACCAGCATTTTTGCAATTGGGGAGAGCATGAAGGCAAAAGTTCGAGCAGCCATGATGTTTCGGAGGATTGTCGCGCGCGCAAGAAGCACCGATCCTACTCTAGTTCTTCAAACCAGCTTTTTGTAGGTCAGGGAGAGGGAGAGAGCACAGTTCAAATAACCATGCTGTGTCCCACGCTTGGTCGTACACCCGAAACACACCGATCCCTCTGTCGTACCACGCACCAGCGATTTTCAAATTCAGGAAAGGCCGAGAGCAAAGTCCGAATACCCATGATGTGTCCGACGCTTTGTGGCGCTCGCAAGAAGCACCGATCTTTCCCTTGTTCCACAACCCAGCTTTTTTGTAGTCGGGGAGGGGCAAAGTGCAAAGTTTGAGCATCCATGGTGTGTCCGACGCTTGGTCGCGCACGCAAGAGGCACCGATCTTGTCTTCTTCAAACCAGCTGTTCATATGTCAGAGAGGGAGAGAGCAACTTTCGAACACCATGACACAAAGGAGCACCGATACTCCGTTCGTTCCACAAACCAGCAATTTTCAATCCTAAGAACAGGCAGAAACCAAAGTTCACCTAGCCATCATGTTTCAAACGGTTTATCTCGCACGCGAGGAGCATCGATATGAATTTTTCAAATCGGGGACAGGGAGAGAGCAGAGTCCGAGCAGCCATGATGTGCTAGACGCTTGGTCGCGCGCGCAAGGAAGCGCCGACCCTCTGTTCCACAACAGCTTCTTATACAACGATCGAAACAGCCATGATATGTCCGACGGTGTGTTGCGCACGCTAGGAGCACCGATCGTGCTCTCGTTCCACCGACTTGCGTATATCAAATCGGGGACAGGGAGAGAGCAACGTTCGCATAGCTATCAAGTGTCCGACAATGTGTCGCGTGCGCAAGGAGCACAGGCACTCCGTTCGTGTTTCCATCGGCGAGAGGGAGAGAGCCAGTGCGAATAGATAGGACCAAGCCTCGCCGATTTCCCCCCAGTTAGATGAGTACCGCAAATGACGGAAGATTCCACATTTCATGCCGATGATGACTGTGTTCTCGATGATTCGTACGCCGACGGATGGCTCCAAAGGAAGCCGTGTGCACCACCGTGTCAAGGATGCACGGTAGTAGAAGTCGAGAAACATGCTTTTAGTATTGGCAAGAGACGGGTCAAGGGTCCATACTTGCCGCGGCGCTACACCCCACATGGTGCGACAAAAAATCAACACGTATGTTATTGTATGCCTGAGCTACCTCGCGAATCGCCTCCTTCATGATACCGCGTGATCTCTGAGTATTTTTTACCGTTGTACCTCGTGGTCCTCGTCGGGATGTTATCGCCCGCAACCGCGCCACACTGAGCGGTGTACAGACTCTGCATCCTGTTTCCCACCTGCCCTGCCTGGCTACCTAGCATAACAATGCTCAGTGGAAATTTCATCCCCACGCACTGACGCTTTACACTGAGGGGTGGCAACGCCGTGCCTTGAATCTACGTGTGACTAATGTTCGCGGAACAAGAGTTGTCTGCTTGATCGATGCCTTGGTGTCGATCTCCTCCACGCGTTGATAGGGCTCCTGTTGTTGTGCTCGAGGCTTCTGCTGTTGTTCCGATGGCGGCTGCCGGTGCCTTTGCTTGCGCTCTTGGCAAGGACTAGAAGTACGTCTGATAGAACCGGCAACGTTTGGAGCACTGGTAAGGTCCCGATGCGTCCGGTTGAAGGGTCGATCAGTAGTGCAAAAGCGTCTGAGGGCGGCACTGGTTGTTGTGCGACGCGTACACACATTCTTTTGTTTGAACAATCGCAACAAGATCCTCTAGACCGGCGCTCTTTTTTCCGCAGGCCGCTGGAGTACCTCCGACAAAGCCATGGGATCGAACCCCTTCCTTTTCCCTAATAATCCAAACACCCCACAAACCCTGTATAGATGTCGCACAGAGCATGCTCGGTAACAGCGAAACACCCTAGAGAAAAGCGGAGCACTCTGCCGTGCGAAGGTTCCATCCTGGTATTAGACTCCCGCGTTTTTTTCCGGCAAGTACCCGAGGAAAGCTCCGTCGTGCTTGTTGTTGTACCTGTCGATAAGACGCGAGGTGGGTAAAAGCATCAGCCAACTTCTTCCAAATTCTTTATTGGCCGCAACACACGCCCGAATAGCTCAACAACACCACGCACCTAGACATGGCTGCCAAGAGCACACGAGGCTTCGCCGCCCTCCGCTTCAGCAGCGGCAGCATGCGAGCGATCGATGTTGATTTATTCCGGGACGCACGCTCTACAGAACGACCGGTGTCGATTGGCCACGTCCAGGACACCGAGTGAACTGCCTCCTCCTGTCGCAGCAGGCGGATGACACCCTTCAGCCCCCGCACCATCTCGCGGTGGACTATCATGTTTGCACTGAATCTACGAAGATAAGATGTAGCCAAGTCCAGGGGCGTGCCGATGAAATCTTCGTCTTCTTCCCCCTCATCACTGTCGCACGGAAACCGAACGCCCGATGTCGCGTCCGCCCCGGCTTCGAGTAGCAAGCGCGCAAATCTCGGGGCATGAAAGCTTCCCAGATTGAATGTGCTCACCAACGGTGTTTCTTGGAACACAAAGTCGTCGTAGGTTTCTGGGAGAGTACCGTGGGCCATGTTGACGTAGGCACGCGTACCTGTGTTGGCGTTTCCCCCCTGTCTCCGCAGCAGAAGGCTGACGCACGCCTCGCTACATCCCTCAATGGCGGCACACAGGGCCACGCCCTCCGTATCAACCACACCGGCATCGCACAGGAAGGTGACGATGTCCACGTGTTTGCGAGAAGCGGCCGTTGCGAGAGCCAGTGCGCCGCCGTCGCTTGTGCAGCGATCGATTCCGTACCAATGCACGAGCTCGCGGACCACTTTCAGGTGTCCACTGTAAACCGCCATATATAACGGGAGACTTCCGTACGCTGACAAGAGCGGATTCGCGTTCGCGCGAAGGAGAACCCTGACCGCTTCGAGCCGCCCGTCGCTTGCCGCGAAAAACAGGGGTGTCACCCCGTCGTCGAGCCTGCTGTCCACATTCGCGCCTGCGTCGATCAGCATTACCATTCCTTGGTAAAACCCTTTCGTCGCGGCCACGTGAAGTGGTGTATCTATGCCACCAGGCCTCACTTCAAGGTGCGCTCCCGCCTCGATCAGGTCTTTGCTCACGGCCAGGTGTTTGTGATAGACCGCGTGGTGCAGAGCAGTATAACCGTCGCTGTCCGCTACCGAGACGCTGGCACCCTGCCGCAGAAGGTCTCTGACGACGCGCGAGGAACCAATGACGGAGGCCACCATCAGCGGTGTCTGGTTCGTGTCACCACAGCCTCGGTCGATGTCAGGATCGGCGGAACAGCTGGCTTTGCTCAGAGTTGATGGCATGTTGGGGAGAGGGTTGTGTTTGAATACGCACAAGTATTCAAGGCAAACAAAGTTTTTGGGAAACAAAATGTTCAAGCTTTGACTAGTGGTTTTGACACCAACGTTCTTTTTTATGTCTACACTCTTCTGTACACAATGGCAAAATCAATTCGACGCTTCCCGCTCCTCCCCGTGACCGTTACCAGTTGAGGTTGAAGGTAAGCCCTGCCAGAGCCCGAGGCAGCTTCCTCTTGGCTACCTTGGGCTCCGTGTTGTTAGCCGAGACAACAAGCTATTTCGCAAACCTGACCTTCTCCTTGGCCTTGGCGTCTTCCGTGCTCAGGGCGTCCGCCTTGCGTTTCGCGGACGTAGCTGCAGCTGATTTTTTTGCTGCCATTGACCAAGTTGTTTTCGCCCGTTTAGCTGCCGTGCAGAGCGTAGACGACAACGCCGCCTTGCGCTTGGTACCCCTCGGACTCACTCTCCCCACAACAACGGCCGCTGATTTGGCTTTGGCCCTTGGCCACGTGAGCTTCCTTCTTCAGCCTTCTTGCGAGCGCATATGCTTTGATTTTCTACCTGAGAATACGGGCCGCCGTCTTTTTCGCGAACGCCTCAACCTTTTTCGCGCGGGTGAGATCGGCGTCGGCCTTTTTCACGGCCTCTTCTTTGGCAGCCAGGACCTTTGCCGGCTTTTTCGCTCCCAGTAGCGCGAGCTTCTTGGGGATACTGTTGTTCTTTAGGATTTTGGTCACACCACTCTTCACCTTTTTTTTGTTGCCTATAATTGATTTCAGCTTGTCTGTACACTTGTTTCGTTCGTTTCACCGTTACGTTTTTGCCTGCTATCCTGATCGACCTTTCCAGCAGAATTGTTTTGAAAATGGCTATGTAGTACTTCGAAGCTTCTTCAATGGCGTGGAACTGGTCCTTATGCGTGCGGAGAGAAACGATCTGGGTTAGGCGTGAGGCATCTCTTCTTCTCATCTGTTTTGAAGCACCTGACCGTTGCTCTACACTCAACCATTTTTCTTCGATTTCTTTACAGAAAAAAATACGTTAGGGAACGGAGTCGGCGCGAGCAGCGGCAGCGGCACGAGTGGTGACTAGACAAAGGAGGCGCCCTCTCGCTACGTCTTTCAGCACCGACGACGACGACGAGGGCCAAGACGGCGCGATCGCGGTCAAGGTTATGACGGATGTCAAGACGGAGGCCAAGATGGAGGAGCTCCGGGAGTCTTCGAAGCCGCTGAAGATGAAGAAGAGGGCGGGGTTGATGAAGATGGAGACGGAGGAGACAACAGGGGATGAAGCAGGGGCGTAGTTCGCCGACTGAAGTTTTTGCAGTTGGTGGCCAGCGGATCGGTGTGCTCGATTCTGTGACATTTTGACACTTTGAATGTGTGATATTGGAAATAATGTACTCCGTATTAGATTGCGCTGTTGGTTTGCGGTTTTATTGTTTCTCTTGCCACGGATGCACTTTTAAAATGATGCGAATATTTGTATCACGAAATCGGCCTTCACCTCAAAAAACAAGTTGGACGGACTCGCCTTACTCTGAACAAAACTTTATCAATGTCATAATTGTCAGCGTGTGCTGGGTTGTGATAACCACGCGACAACAACTACCACCGTTCCCGTACATACCTTGAAATTTGAGCTTTTTCCGCACCTCAATATTATTTTTGACCATTGCATATCTTTACAAGGGCGTTTGTGGGGATTTTTAACGTGGCACCATTCGTTAAGGTCTTGCCGAGAGCTCTCTAAAGACGCATTGGCTGTGTTGGTGACGCTTCGTTTCGCGGAGAAATCACTGTTTGACATTTGGCTCAGGGGGTGTGATATCTCACGTCATATATGAAAGCTCCTTTCGTGAATTACGGCAGAAATTCTAGACGGCGCAGATTGGAGGGTCCCGTATAGTTTCGCTTATCGTACATGCATTCGGCAATCCAAATACAATAAGATGAAGCAGATGTTTCCACAATAACATTGGGCGTCAAATGGGGGTGTCAAACTGCTGTCTCAGACAGATCAATCATTGGGGCGATGACATCAACCAGATTCAGAGGGAGGATCGAACCAGGACGACTTGCACAGGTTGGCCGGACTCAGATTTGTCCCCAAAAGCTATTAAACGTATGGCTAAATGGTCTCATTATGCAACAGAGACACCCGGGTTGCACGCGGTGGAAAAAGCAAAAAAAAAGGCCCCACGGGGCTCCGTACATGGTAGCTCAGCAGACACGGTACCCGGGAAGGGGCCAGCACAAAAAAACTCGCCGCGCCATGCGCGCATGCCACGAGAGCATTACCTTTGGGGCCAGAGTTCTCAGCACACACAGCCCGGACCGCGACAAAGCCTACGGAGTACAGGAAGGAGATCACGTTGAACCTCGGTGAGTGGTTGGTATGTCCTCGTTATTCTCTTGGAGCGCGTAAGGTGGAGTGCTTTCGTCAAGAGTTTTTTCCGGCACCCTCCGTAAATGACAGCAGCGCCGTCGCACGAGAAGGTCATCTTCAGACGCTAGGTCGGCCCCGAGGAACGAACGAAATCGACTGGCGATTTCGTTCCCCAGTAGGAATGTGACAAAAGAAGCCTCCAGGGGTTGCCCTAATTTTGGATCGCCACTACCTGTGCCGTAGTCGCGACGAATTGAACACCATGTTCGTGCGGTGTATCTTGCGGATTCTCCACCCCCTGCGTCGGGTCTCGTGTGTTTGTAGTGAGGGGTAAGGCGGTTGTCACGATGACACCAGCGGAGCTCACTCGCACTATGTAAAACTGAGCCTTGGGCCATGTCTAGCAATAGTTCACCACTATCAGCATCGCATAAACCATGGGCCGTCCCTGCTGTATTTCCATTTGGCAGGAATGTTCTCGCCGAGAGCGGCGGCGACCTGCAGTGCCTGCCGTCGCCAAGACGATGGTGCAGGTCTCCGCCAGCCTAGGCTGAGGGTTCGGGATAGAATTCAAGAGTTCAGCATGGAAGTCAGTGTCTCCCAGCGTTTCCCGCAACTAGAGTTTTCGGTCGAACATACGTTTCATCTTTGCAAGCGTGGGGGGTGCCTGCTTGACCTGTTCACGAAGCAAGAAGACAAGGAGAGGGGTGCCATCAAGCGCCTGCAGCCCCGGAAACGCAAACAGAGGAAGGATGGCCGTGTTCCTGAACCGACCATGCACTTCAAACGCCGACCCCTCGACCGCTATTGCACGTCGCCCGAGGCGGTGAAGGCTTTGCTCGCGGAGGTGATCATTGAAGGGCTTGTACTCGATATGTGCGGTGGGTCTGGGGACGCCGTGGCAACCACCCTCGCGCGTACCTGCTGTGTCGTTACGAACGACGTTCGGAACAGGTGAGGAGTGGTGTCGCTCTTTCGTTGCAAGCCTCCTGTGTGGCATTGACTTTTACTCAAATGTTTCACTATTAGCTTCGAAAGTTAGCCTCTCCACGCGTTCGTCTCAAGTTTTGTGTACAGCAGTGTTGTTTGACGTGTTTTGAATAATGCGCACTGCCTCCTTTCTTGTCACCCCGCTGTTGTCGTCGCAAGGTCCGCATCAGACACCAGTTTGGATGCCACCGCGCCCACGTTCGAGAACGATTACCTCTCGAGTGGCGCTCGGCGTCCCGACTGGGTCGTTACAAGCCCGCCGTACAAAGGAGCAATAGAGTTCGTCAAGGCGGCGATGGCGGTAGCTGGGCACGGGGTAGCGTTGAAGTTGCCGTTGTCGTTCATGGAGCCTTGTGGGGATCGGGGGGGGTGGCTTCAGCAAAACCCGCCCTCGGTGTGCATTTTCTTGAGGAGGGCTACGTATCAGCCAGCACATGTGCTGATGGGGGAATTTTGGGGAGTGTGGTACAAGACGGCATCACGTGATGTGACGACGAGGCTGGTGTTTCGCCCTTGAGCAGTGCAGGCGGTTCCCCCTGAATTAATTTTATCCAACACCAGTTTCAGCAGTATCCCCAAGCTGTAGTTTCCATATTGCACGGATGGGTAGGATCCCTATAGGAAGAAGAAGTTGGTTTTTCGCTGGCAACAACCGCGGCCGCTTCTGTTGCATGCGGTCTTTTGTTGGTATGGGTTATATGCCCACGACTTATTTTATGCAGGACTGTTTGTGCTTCTGTTTTGTCCCCATATTTTGCCTAGCAACAGTGTGAGGTCGGAAGTGGAATTACGACACCAAGCGTCTATGTGTACGTATCTTTTTTATGGCCAGTCGAACCCCCCGTGTTTTGTAACCAAGAGCACGAAGCACGATGGGAAAATATTGTTAACTCACAGCACGTTTTTCATCCCAAACAGGTGTTCAAATTGTATGCCCCGAACCTAAATTAAACAGACAGAAATTTACGCAACACACACGAACATGACTCAAACACTAACTTCTTCACCGAAAGAATACAACTCTACGTCGTAGGCGGGGCGCCCGCAAGCCGTCAACTCATCTCCGCTGGCATCGAGTCCTGGCAAGTCATCAAAAAAGTCCTCCTCGATACTCTCAATATCGATATCGTCGCCCTGCATATCCGCACCATCACCGTACCCCGACATGTCATCCAACTCCGCTGTCAACGGTCTTTGCTCGGGCGCACCAGGTAGCCTCTGCCCCCTATCTCCCTGCTCTGACGTGCCATTGCCCGCCCCGGCCCCCGCAGGCGCGTCTGATGTACTACCCCCCCCCCCCGCGCTTGCCGTCTTTGGTCGAAGCCCACACACGAAGGAACAGTTACACATTTGTGAGCAAAGCCCTAACCCCACCGTCGTGCACACGCACGATTTGCATCGTTTAGACCCGGCAGGGGGTGTTTCTGGTGAACACCTGCATTTCGTCACAGCAATACCCTGGCCCGGTTTCACAGTGACCCACGGCGAACAGCGTAGGTGCATTAAAGCGTTCCCATCCCCCTCGTCCTTGATGTACCCCTTCCCATTCCAATCTGGAACCTGTATAGGATAGCGATCCTCTTCCATGGACGTCGACAACCAGTACTCCGTTGTCCACATCATTCGATCTACGTGTAGGGCCATCACATCATACTCCGGGGCTTGATTCTGCCACTGGGCCTTCTTAAAATGCTCAACGTGGGTCCAGCGAACAAGGTGCTCTATCCAAGGCTCTAACGCATCAGGCTGCCCCTCCCGCTTTGGGTCTTTCACCTGCCGACCCGGCATCGGCGGGTCGAACAGCCGTTTATTTTTAACGAAATACGCTAAACCAATAAACTTGATGCACTCGCTCTTATCCCACAACACCTCCCAAGAGTTGCTACCGAGCGGTTTGACAAAGTTGTGCACTTGGGGGTTCTGCAAGGTGTGGAAATAACTGTTGAACATCGAATGTGAAGTCAACGAGTGCAGGGTCGGCGAAAAGTCTGTTCCACACAGGGTGTAGGCGGCAATCACCGGCAAGCAACGCTGCATGGGTGAGAAGCCGGTGGGCCAGTCCAGGCCCACGATGCCCTCGAAAAGGTCCAGCGTATCAATGTGAGTGACACATTCACCTGCACGCCCGAACCCCCGCTGTTGCCTCACGACGATGCGCACATTTCTTGTCCATTCATGCACGGCATATAGCAGAAGCGCCGCAACCCACACGTCCGTGTCCACCGAAATGATCTCCACTCTCTTGGCTCCCCGCCTGTCCCCCCCGGGTTCAGAACGCGTACCTCGCGAGACCTGGCAGGCGTGAAGCAGCGCCTGCAGTTCTCCTTCGCCAACCCCGTTTTCCCTGTCCGTCGCAATGCTGCAATTGCCTCCGTCTTACACGTTGCTTACGGCGCCCCGAGACTTTCCTCCGCCGCCGCTTTCGCCCTCGTCGCGTCCACGTGGAGCACCCTGGCATCGCTTCTCGGGCGGATGCACCCCTCCCCCCCTCGTCCGATTCCACCCCCCCAACGCCTAAACCCTTCTTTGCGGCTTTCGTCTCCTCTTGTCTGAGGGCCATAGCTCGTGCTTTCTGGGCCGCTTCCTCCCCGGCCCGCCGTGCCTTCGTTTCCATGGCAACACGCTCCTCCGGCCCCTCGTCCGAGTCCGCGCCCCAACCGTCTCTCCCCTTCTTTGCGGCTGCCGTCTCCTCCTGTCTGAGGGGCACAGCTCGTGCCTCCTCTGCTTTTGCCTCCCCAACCCTCCGTGCATTGTCCCGTGTCTCCACGTTAACATGCTCCTCCAGCGAGGTTAGCTCCTCCCGCAGGTCGCGCTCCTCTCCATCCACCTATAAATTCGGGCACCCAGGACAAGCAACAACCGGCGGGCCAGATCGATATTGCACAGTTTACCAATTGCGTATGGTTACCTCAACGGCATATCAAAAACCAAGGACCTCCGTCCAAATTGTTGCAGCCAGGCAAACGCACGTGCAGCGCTATAAATTTACCCGTTTCACCTACCTTCTCGATGGCACCGACAGAAATAGTGTTCACGAGCAGAACGAAATGCGAGAACTCCCTCCTGTCTCCACGACCAAGTAGCCGGCCCAACCCTTGTATCGAGGTGAACGGGGTGCCATCCCTTGAAAGGGAGTGGGAAAGATGGACGGCTGGCATTTGGGCCAACGCATGGGGCCCTGAGCGCAGGCTGGAAAGCGGCATCCAATACTTCTTGTTCCATTTCCCTCCCACCAAAGAAACTGAAGCGGCTGCGGCACGACAATCACGCGTGCACACGAGAATATTTAGGTGTTAGATATGCTCACCGACGGCTGTTTTCATAAAGTCTCGCCAAGAGTACGCTGACAACCGGACTACCCTGAAAATGACTCCGCACTTCAATAACCCACAAACACCCACCTGGGTGAAAAACTCGAACTTTCAAGCCCAGCACCTCCGCTGCCCAGGGTAGGACCGCCTGCTGACTATACTTGAAAGGCCCGCAGTTACTCCGGATAGCACAGAGATAGTACAGGCGGGCAACGTCCGCCGACATGTTCATCGGCCACACACGACCTGCAAGCTTCATCACCATGTCGTGTTCCTTGGTGTCGAAGAGGTCACCAGAACGGTACTCGGCCAGGTACCCGTCAGCGCTCAGGAACTCTTCGCACTTCAGCAGTGCCATACGCATGGCTCCGGTCCGGAGAGCAAGCGCAGCACCCCCGGTGGAACAACGGGTGTTGAGCGCCCCAGATGCAAGGGCGATCCAGAAACACGCGCCTTTCCCCTCGTTTACGACGGGAACACCCACCCCCCCACCATCAGATGTCGCTGCCCCTTCCAAACAGCGACTGGCAAGCTTGTCGATGTCCTCAGGCAGGTTGAAACACCCCGAATCTGCCTGAAGTATTTCCGATTTGATTTCGACGGGAAGAAAAAACATACGGATCCTGATATGGCTAAGGTCGCATCCTGTGCACCCAACCTACACACCGGACTTGTTGCCACAGAAACGATAATACCTTTTTCCAACCGCCGCACACTGCTGCTCTAGGGTTTATTAGCATTGTGACATGTTGCTTCGAAAGGCTTGTGTAAGTTTTTCGTGCCGACCAAGTCCGTGGTTCCAGTTCCATTTCGAATAAGTATGGCGCCGTGGTGACTAAATAGTGCTCACCTCCGGGATGGGATTCAGCTTGAAACCGGCGAAGGGGTCGGGAATACTGGCGCCCAAGGAAACCAGACCTTGAACCTCTCGGGCAGAGACGCCATTCTTCCACGCCTCCGTACCTCCCTCTCTCTTCGCGAAAAAAACATCGATAGAGTCTTCGATGGTGGCCAAGACCGCCTTGTTTCGATCGTCCATGGGCTACTTGCGTACCCGTTCGGGAGAATAACCAAGACGCAGACCTCCGCTCCTGCTCGTGTAGTACACGGCACGCATCATCCATCAGGACGAAACAGCACACGTTTCCGCTGCGCTACTCTCCGTCAAGAAGGTTTGTTTTATTGCCACATCCAGCGCACGGCAGAAAACCCTCTGCAGAAACGCCGCAAATACAAAAGTTGCGGAAAGGGAGCAGGACCACACTCTGTAGTGTACACTACCTACATAGCCTACACTGCAAAACGAGTCTAGTGGCGCCGTTTATGTTACACTAACGCTGCGTATTTGCAACGACAGCCTGACGACATCGCGACTCTCTCTCGTGCAACCGAGGGAAAAATATGCACGATATCAGCTGGACTCTCTGGCAAGTCCTCGTCGCGGGGCGTCGTGTAAACCGGCCCTGCTTGCAGCGGTGTCTACAACAGCAGCGGTGTCTATCACAGAATATTATTAGACTACATTTTCATTTTTAAATTTTTTGGGGACCACACAAGATTGAATCTTGTCGCCCGCCCCTAAATCTAGCAATATCAATCCTATCATGAGTCGGCATTCATCACGCGTCGCGGTTGGTAACCGTACAGGACCATTGCCTTCGGGTGCAGGCAAAAGGGCGGCTTAGCCTGCACGAAGCAGCTATAGCTGCTGCTGAGCTATAGCTGCCGCTGCACCCGGGTGGTTCGTGCCGCACATGATCTTGTCTCTGGATTCGCCCGATTATCAGTGATTTTCGCCCATGTTTCTGATCCATGAAGTGCTCATACCTTGGGTGGGTTGTGCACGGCAGTGCCTTCCTCCGTTTCGCCTCAGAGATCTCTCCACGCAGCCCTAATCCCTCTCTCGTTGCAGGGAGACGCAGGACAGGTAGGCAAGATTCTACGGAAGATACCACCCCTCTGGCGGACTTTACGCTCCGAGGTCCGTCGCGGGTGCGATCCCTTTCACCTTTTCAACGCCACTATACTTTAGAGGTGTCCACGACGATTCTATAGAGGGCTGCCCTAATTTTGGATCGCAACTACAGCCGGAGCTATTGAGAAACTTCGGTTGGTCGCTATGGTGAAGGCCAGCTGCGAGGGGTTCCGTGAGTCATTGGTCGAGAACAAAAAAAAGAAAAATGGGGTGTACGGAGCCCCTTGCAACCCGGGTGGAAAGCCGAAAACAGAGCCGATAGGGACGCTTGGGGGAGCGTCTCAATATTTCACGGGCCCCCTTGAGAATGCCGCTCATTTCACCGCTGAGAATGCGCCTGGAGAGCAGAACTATACACAGAGAGAAGCGGTGCCAAACGAAAAGGACAGCAGGATCCAGCCAGCTTCGACCGCGCTTATGCAAACGGGAGAGGTGAGAGCATGTGGCAGACCCTCGCACGCGGTGCGCGCCTCAGAAATAGGAGGTTCTTAAGTGCGGGCCGCATCTGTATACCCAGGCCGCACCGCTTTTGTGGCATCGGTGCGCGCCGTAGACACACGTGGCTGTGGCATGGGTGTTGTGTGCGAGGGAGAGTTTGGCGGTGTTCGGGTATAAAAAGGTGTCGTATGCATAACGATAAGCTACGCTGCTGTCGGAATAGCTGCGTACATACGTTACAATCGATGTGGAGGAATCGATTTGTTGTTTGGCCGGCGTGAACCCGGCACGGACGACAGATCTCGCCGGCACGATGGTCCCGTGTATAGAGATACCTCCGTCGCTGGCACAACGTATTCTATATAAGTGGGGTACAATTTCCGAGACAATCGTCTTAGGTTACAGATGCGATGGGAAGACTGATGTTTTCAAATGAAACAAGCTTCGTGAAGGAGTCTCCGTGGCGCTGTAGGGTGGATAGCAGTTTGAATAAATCATTCATCAGCGGCCATTCTTGTTGTTGTTGTTGTTGTTGTTGTCTTCACATTAAAAACCGTTCCGATCTCTCTCTACCCAGTACCTTCGTATGTCCGTACTGATCCAACACTCGACGCGGTCGATTCCCGTGGTCGCAGGCTAACTTACCCTTAAAAGGTACACTCAAATAAACTGGCCCCGAGGGGTCCGCAAGTCAATAAAAATCAACGACAGATATTCTGGAGTCCTCCACTCCCTCTGCGCGCTATGCGAGGTAACAACTGAGACTAGGAGGCACCATCACGGGCCGGAGAGAAAGAGGTACACCCCCTTGGTTCAATCTTGGTGCTTCACGACGCAAGCAGAGACAAGGCCGTCTGGCACAGAAAAAGAGAAGAAAAAGAGAAAAAGAGAAAAAGAGAAAAAGAGAAAGAGAAAAAAATAAAATAAAACAAAAGAAAACAGCGAGGAAAGAGAAAATAAAATGAAAAGGAGCGAGGCCAAACCTTGTAGTGATGTTTGAGTAAATCATTCGCGTATGCAGAACCCAGGTCGTTTCCAGTGCAAATCTCGGTGTCGGCACCGGGAGCAATGGGGACGCTCCTCTCGGTATGCGAGGGCATCGTCTCTGATACGAAGGATGTTTGCACACCGCATCAATACACCCGGGTCGATCTCGAACGAAGCTTGGCATTATTGGGGTAACCAGATAGGACCAGAGGGTGGGTACACGCTAGGGCTGGTGGTTTTCTGATGTTTCCAAATTTACTTGTTCCTCACATAGCGTGTAGAGGGGAGCGGAGGGCTCCAAAAAAGATATCTGCTTCTAAGTTTATTGCTCTGCAGACCCTTCGGGTCCATTTTGTTTTACGTCTACCTCTTTCGGGGTAGTGAGTTAGCCTGTGACCACGGAAGTTGGCCGTGTCTAGTGTTTGAGCAGTACAGACAAATGGGGGTACTGGGCAGAGAGCGGGATGACTTTTCTGTGAAGAAACAACATCAACAACAATGCATACGGGTTGGTAATTTCCCCGACGAACAAGGGAGGGCCGCCACGCGAGGAGAATCCGACCACAGACCACCACACGACCCACCACCTAGACCACATATTGTATTATTTTGAGAATGCCCGAAGAAGCGATTCCTCCACATTCCGAACAGAAGCTGTGGCACGGAACCAGCAGGTTTTCGGCCCATTGGGCGCCAATCGCCACCAAACCTGGTGGAGCGTGTGATCCATTATCCTGGCCTTGGCCGTGCGGGTTGTGTGGGGCTTATGGGGTGCGTGGCGAGAGCTTGATGGTGGCGTGGTGTGAGTTAAAAAATTAATAAATAGGACTTTCAACCCTTTTTTCTATGCTAACATCTCAAGCGCTTGAGGACAAGCCGTACCAAGCGCGCCGCGCGTGTAGCCTGCGGTTCTGGGGACCGGTTTGACCAGCTTTTGCTTGATCTTGCTGCTCAATCTGTCGTGCGAAATTACAGCAGGTGTACCGCGGTCTCATCATCATCGTCATCGTCAGGCAGAGGGCGAGGGGCAGTCATGAAGACTCTTCATTTTCTGGCCTTGGCCATAATTTTTTGTGGTATGAAGTCTTTTCGAGCAACCAAACGTGAACTCAGCAGTCTTGGCAGCCCGACTTCGTGTGGAAAGTGTTTCGTCATTTTAGTGTTGGTGCAATCGTCGATATTCGATTCAACACATGGACGGGCTTTAGTTTAGTCGCACGTCTCGTCTACAAAACCCTAAACCTAGACCGATCTATCTTGCTCTCCGAGCAGGGTACCTCACTGTCCAGTTGAGGAGTCGGAAAAATCGGCGTATATGAAGCAGAGCTCAACCAAGTGACGTCAGAAAAAGGCGGTGGTTGGAAAATCTGCGGTTTGGTTCGGCACAAACCTCTTTTCGTTCTCTGGGCCCCCTTTGTCGTGATAAAACGCTGCGAGCGCCTCCGAAAATTATCTGCTGGGCAACATATGACTGCGCGCCACTTCAAACCTAACCCTGGTACTGACGCTTCTGCACCTCAGCTAAGGTAGCCTTCGTTGTTCTGATGCTGCTGCACCCACGTCCAAGCCTCGCCCAAAAATTTTTTAAATGGTTGTACCTTCCAGACGAACAATAAGCAGCGTCTTTTTAGGGCCGTGTTCGGCCATCTCGTGAACGAAGCGGATTTCGTGTGAAGCTCCTTTCCTGACACGCACTCTTGCATCCACTACAGATAGAGCTTACGGCTACTCGCTGAAGGTGACAGCCTGCAATTCTACCTACAGTGGAACTCCAGATGACGACATAAAATTCCATTTTTGCGACGGAGGGAGCTACTGCATCCTGGGCGATGCCGAGGACGACGACTGGGTCGGATTACAGGGTAATAGCATCAGCGATCGCTCGACGATTGAAATCGCCATTGCTCCCGGTTACGAGCCTACGACAATAGAATTCAGGAAGGGCTTTGGAGTTGAAGATCCTGGTCAAGACTCATGGTGAGGTTGATACCCAAAACGGGTCAAAAGGGTCAGCACCCATTCCAAAACCCCAAATCATGGAGCTCACATCACACTTCGTATACAGCAAGCCATAAATGAAAACGCGGGATATGTATCGACATAGATAAATGGAACATTACGAATTTTGACTCTTCCAACTCACACTAAATCGCAGTCTCTCCAGGAGTGCGGTGAGAGGAGCGGGGAGATTCATACACCCCTGAAATCAGTATTCAGCATGTATGGCTTATGGTACTCAGGGTCGCACATCTCAGCCTCTCTCCTCCGTCACCCTTAAAGAAAAGTCGAGCCGTGTGGCTTCGTCAAGGCAGCCTTGCATCCTCAATGCTGCGAATTTCCAGCCTGCGGGACTGTTCGTTTCAACGAACGTCAACCAACGTGCACCTATGTGATGCACGAATGTAACCACAACCTGTGTGCATGTGATTTGTCACACGCTCCCACATAAGTCCCTGCGCGAAAGAGCAATGCGAACCTTTGTCGGCTTCTCTTCTAAGAGACGTCAGTGAGAAGGGCTTACGCGCGACGCGCTCCGCGTGAACCTGTGTACGTGCAAAAGTTTCCCGCCGGGAGTGTGGGTCACGGTGATGACGGTTCACGGTTATCTGTCGAACACCTTGAGGTATATGTAAGCGCAGATCACGCACGCCACAACCCCATACACCACCTGCCCAGTTGACACGTTTGGGAGTCTACATACCTGTCGAGTCAATCAAATTGACATTGGGTGTTGTATACCGTGAACAGTGACCGGCTGACTTCCTGTAACATTCCAGTAGATGTGATTCCCGGCACAAGATCCTGCTCTTGTCAAAGTCGACGCCTTTTTTTTTGGTAGGCATTGTCAACATTTCAAGCAACTCCGTAGTACTTGTTTAGTACTTAATTCAACAACCACGAACCATCACCTGATGAGGACGGCGGGGGCTACGTACCGCCTCCGCCATCCGGCGCTCTATCTAGTACAGCATACGCTTCTTTGTTTTTTCTGTTTTTTTCCATCAACGAAACCATCTGTGACCCACTTGAACGGGTATACAGCAGGATAGTAGATAGTGCAGCAGCGCATCCACCCCCTGGTTTCATCACATAGAAGGTGGGGTCACACCAACAGGGAGCAGCAGCTGTACATGTACGGAGATCGCGACCTTAGCAATTTGACATGATTTTCTTGGGGTCGACCTGGATTTTGGTCCGATTGAAATTTTTGGAAATTTAACAGTGCTACGCGTGCGTGGGGGGCGCGTGCCTTTTGTTTCTATTTCGCTCGCTTAACGGCTTATGCCGAGCTTGATGGGACTGCGCGTATCGAAAAGATCATTCCCGTAATATCGGTGGGCGAGCTGTGGGTGTATGCACGGCCCATACGAGTCTTTGGAGGTGGCCGCATCGAAATTTTCGCACATCCAATCATTTAGTGTAGACCGAGATTCCGCCTGACAAGCGATTCTTTGGTGCAGCTTAGACTTCATACGCCCAGTGGAGGGGCAATGGCACTTTGTTGCTTGGCGCTTGGCGCTGGCGCTGGCGCAACTTTCTCCGTATGTACTGGAGTTCGTGATTGATGTGTACGCCTCTATTAGTCCCTTGGCGTTCCGACATGTGTACTGTACCCGCCGGGGCCTGACAAACGTGCTGTGCGTAAGCTTCCAATACTACGCGTTGGTGGTCTTTCAGGGGTTGAATGCGAAAGTCTTAACAGCCACGCTGGGTCTGATTTGCGACCGTTCACATTTCGCAGGTGTATTGACAGGGTGACATGGGAAGACGGGGACAACTTGCTGGGGGAAGACGGATACTTTTTCTTGGAACACCAAAACGAAGCCATGGGCTGCATTAATGGCATCGCTGACACTACGGGGTGGGTTGACCCTACGGAAAAGGTTGCTTGCATGAAGAAGTGGCGCTTCTTCAACATCAACGGACAGAGTGAGTGCGTTTTCGTCAGATTTTAAACTCAACAAACAACCAAGCCCAGTCCATGGTTTGCTGCACGGATATCAAGGTTGAAGGCGTGCAACAGCAATATCTATGAAGAACTACAAGACGCCTGAGAGTCGAGGCCACGTTTGGGTGCGCTCGAAATACAACCAACCCTTGTGCGATTAGGATCCGAGTTTGAGCTACCTCTGTCATTATTGCAGCAACCGCTGAACGTACCAGTAGTCAAGACACATACACTCTTCGCCCGCTTGTCTATTCCCTGTACCGCAAGAGTGTGCATGCTGGGACGCAACCAAATCTGTGGGACTATTTCGTTTCGTAGGACTCATTCCCTCACCCCCGTACAGGTGAATACAAGTACGACGTACGGGTCAAGGCCTGTGCCGGAACCAGCTTGTCCATCGTCCTGGCCTACTTCTGCTCAAATTCTAATTGCGATCGAGGAGCGATCGGCGAAGAATGGCCGGAGCGGTTGGAAATGAATGACGTAGAGGGTGGGTGGACTGACGTATCGTTTTATTTGCCCTTCAATCCTCTCGCAGTGAGGCTGGAAGCGGCGGACGGGGACGATGCATGGTGAGTGTGCGAGGGGAGGGTTCCATGTGGTGACCGTTTGCTCTACCGTTGCTCTGGTTCGTGTTTCTCATTTTTACACAAGACCAGTCTGGAAAGTCGCAGTATAACATAAGTGTCCGGCAGGAGAACCCGTTGGGAGTTGTTGCGCGTTGGGAGTTGTTGTTGTGTTGTCATCACATTTAAGACCGTTCCGATCTCTCCCCAGTACCTTTATCGTTCGTCCTGATTCAACTGATGCGGACGCCTTCCGTGGTCACAGGGTATATGAAAATATGATGAATAAGACAATTTGAACTGGACCCAGGAAATCAACACATAACGCGATACAAATAGCAGAAAAAAAAAAAGGACAATAACAAAAATTAGGCCTCTAGAGATTCAGGCTTCGCAGGTGCCATGCCCTAGTCAATGGCTGCAACATATCTAAAACGCTGGTGTCATCGCTCTAACTTTATTATCAGTCTGAGTCCATTTCTACACATTTTTGGGTGACAAAAAAGAATGGTAAGCCTTGTTTTTTTTTTGGAACGGAGCACGCAAGTGTTTTGTCTCCGGTTTGCTCCTGCTCACTTGCTTTCTTTTTTTTTCGCGTTTGTGTTGATCTCTCTGGGTCCTTCTCTGTTGGGTAGCTAGCCTATGACCACGGTAGGCGTCCGCATCAGCTGGATCAGTACGGGCATTTGAAGGTACTGCGGAGAGATGGGAACGGTTTTTTAATGTGATAACAACAACCAACAACAAGCCTTGAAAGCCGATGGCTTTTACTTTTCATGACTAGAGAATTGTACGGCAAAAATGTTCATCAGCTACGGCACCAGCTTTTCCATTATAGTCGCAAAAGGGAGTAAGTAGTGACGTGACATGCACTTGCCATCCAACAGTTTGTCGGAAAGTATCGTGAATATAGCATTCCCGGCCGTCGCAGGCAGAGTAGTGCACACTACAAAGCGATTCTTACGTGGAGAATCCCTAGCAACATTTCCTACATGGGTGTTACCCGAAATTATATATTCTACGTATTACATGCGATCTTGGTGTAACAGGTGCGCCGACGAGCTATTCTTCAACGGTTATTCATTGATAACGAATATGACCAAGGTTGAAACAGAGGGGTTTCAAATCTTCCCCAATATTCAGGAAAACGGTAAGCACGAATCCCCCTCGAACGGAAAGCTCTCCGATGCAGTCGTAGCTATAGCCTAAAACCGCCAGACGTAGCAGTCAAAACGATGATGCGGTGCTTCATCCAATAGAAGCGACGTCTGTGTGTGCTTCAGTTGCGGGATGCGGTGCGGCCTTCACTCGAAGACACATATCCGATTGCAATGTCTCGGATATCTCATGCCTTCAGCATGCTCGTTTCTGCAAGAATGCGTGCTGTTGCTGTCAGAGATCTCCTTGTTATTTTCATTCGTCAGACAACTTTGCAACGTTGGGCGCGTCCAGTTTGCACAGTTATCATCTGCCAGTCGAAGCGCTGGTTGTAGAAGGTATTTACGATTTTGCCGCTGCGTGGCCCAGATCGAGAATGCAGTGTCAAACGGGTAACAACGTCAAGACGATCACAACCGCTCAACTTCCCCTCCACACCTTGCTCAGGTCAAACCCCTGCTCCAACTCCTGCTCCAGTTGATGCATCTGCAAGCACCAAAGAAGAATCGGACGATCCCAAATGGCTAGACGCCGCGTGGGAAGTCACGGTCACGGTCATTGGGGCGGTGGTGGTAGCAGCCGGCGCTGGGTGCTTCGCTCGTGCATATCGCCGGGCTCAATCACTCCATGGGCCTGGTAGCGGTGCTTCTGCACACGGCGGGAAGGGCGAGAGTAGGACAGCAGACGTTGGTCGGGCTAAAGCAAGAAGAGCGCCGTCTCTACTGATCTGTTGCTGACAACCAATATTCCGTGCGTATTTACCACAGCGGAAATACTTGGTAGATGAGGTTGGCAGAGGACATTCCGGCGATAGTAGGGATGTGGGAAAATTGGCTCTCTTGTTTGTTTTGTTTTTCAGAATGGAAGGGAGGAATGCAGACATTATTCGTATCACGATTTCGAACCCATTTTGGAGATCCGTGTGGGGAATGGCAGGGCCGGTGGAAACCCCCGGCAATAAAGACAACCTGGCCCAGGAGGGGTACAAAGACACGGGTCATGCTATTTAAGCTGTCTTGGGTAGACTAGTTGATCTTTGATTCTTCATAAAAAAAAACAGTTCTAGCTTCTTTGCGGAGCAACGGTTGCCGAGGGCATGGCACCTGCGAAGCCTGAACATTCCTTGTTTTCATTTTCTTTTCTTGTCGCGTTTGTGTTTATTCCCGGGTCCATGTCATCGTGTTTTTTTTTCATATGCCGGTCGCCCCGGTGGTTCAGTTGGTAAACTCGTACCTTCTAACGTACGGGATCGTGAGTTCAAATCTCGTCCCGAACAAGGTGGAACGTTTAGTCGTGGGTACACACGAGGAAGGAATTGCTGACCCCTTGCCGCATTAAAATCTTAAGGCATGTACCGCACGAGGGTGGGGGAGGGGGCCTCAGGGAGAGGAATCTTTCTGTGTGACCCCGGATTCGATGACAGGCAGTGACGTCAAAATGTGAAATTTACCCCATTATCCCAAGCTTTGCAAATTACGTCGTCACTGCCTCGCCCCGAAAGGCAGTGATGATGATAATACGTGATTTTGTTGCATTAAAATATATTGTAGTAAGATCGGTTCTCTGTCCACTGTATGACGAGTGAAAGATTTGTTGGATTGATCTGCAATTGTCGGATGGCAAACGAAATAATAATAATAATAATAATAATGATAATACGTGATATCAAGCGTCATCATGGTGGGTAATCACGTGAATTGGCAGACATTTTTTTGTTTTTGTCAGAATAAATCCGCCAATTTGCTTTCAAAAACCCTTTTCACCAAAATATGCGCTGCTGAGGTTTCAGGGTGTCAACTTGACACTCACAAACATTTTTCGCAGAATTTTTGCTGCCGTCAGCGAACCAAACTGTTGTACATAAAGCACAACTAACACCTTCGTCGCAGCCGCACCAACACCTAGTCAAGCCGCACAGGGGTAACACAGAGTTTTCGCCTGATTGAGAGCGAAGTATCGAATTGAGAGCGAGAACCAAAAAAATTGAAAATTCGGGTCCAGACGCCTCTCGTCATTTCCAAGAAGCGGCGCAAATTGAAGGTCTCTTCAGCAGCGTCGCGTGCGTATGCCTCTCATCATCATCGGCTGCTGCAGCCAGGAGCTACACAAGTTGCTAGATTGCCCCAGATTGGCAATTTCTGCCTGAAACTGTTTTCGCCTGACGCGGTGGGCTCTGCTGTAGCTTCTGCTCCGCGGTGTAGCTCCACAACGCGTGACTCCCACAGGATGAACAGGGTATCGGCTTGTAGCTATGGGTAAGCCCTTCAATTCAAGCCGCACAGCAAGCTTTACCTCTCAGCAGTAGACCAGCTACATCGAATCGCACAATCTCGCTCTCAATTGGATACTTCGCTCTCAATCAGGCGATAATGTTGTTGTATGTAGTCTGCATTTATCTGCGACTGTCAGACGGCAAACGAAATAATAATAAATATTATTATTATTATTTCGTTTGCCCTCCGACATTTGCAGATAGATCCAGACACAAACCCAAAATCGACCCTAGCGTCCGTAACGAACCTCCAAGCTGTAGAACTCGATGGCCAAATCTTATGTCCTGCAGTATTTGCTCGGAATACCGCGCCTGTAGTCTAGACTATGTGTAACCTACAAACAAAAACATCCATGACCTCCAATCGTACTCAAACGAAACTCGGCTCCTCGCGCCACGGCACTCCCGACGGCGTATCGAACACAAATCCGCTTTCCACCGAAGTGGTTAGGTTAAAGCTGTCGCGCGCATATTTCGGCCGGCAAAAGTCTGTGCGGCATTGCTGATCGATACTGCTACCGGTCACACCAAGAGAAAAACGCCCGCTGTCTTGCTCGATCCGAGGCACTCCCCTTGCACCCCCCTTCCCCACGACAAATCCGCCACCGCAACACGCCGGTCCCACTTCCTTGCCACCTGCAACTCCAAGGGCCAAACCTTCCCCCCTCGGCACTCTCGACGGCGTATCAAACACAAATCCGCTTTCCACCGAAGTGGTTAGGTTAAAGCTGTCGCGCGCATATTTCGGCCGGCAAAAGTCTGTGCGGCATTGCTGATCGATACTACACCAAGAGAAAAACGCCCGCCACTTGCTCGATCCGAGGCACTCCCCTTGCACCCCCCTTCCCCACGACAAATCCGCCACCGCAACACGCCGGTCCCACTTCCTTGCCACCTGCAACTCCAAGGGCCAAACCTTCCCCCCTCGGCACTCTCGACGGCGTATCAAACACAAATCCGCTTTCCACCGAAGTGGTTAGGTTAAAGCTGTCGCGCGCATATTTCGGCGCGCAAAAGTCTGTGCGGCATTGCTGATCGATACTGCTACCGGTCACACCAAGAGAAAACCGCCCGCCACCTTGCTCGATCCGAGGCACTCCCCTTGCACCCCCCGTCCCCACGACAAATCCGCCACCGCAACACGCCGGTCCCACTTCCTTGCCACCTGCAACTCCAATGGCCAAACCCTCCCCCCTCGGCACTCCCGACGGCGTATCGAACACAAATCCGCTTTCCACCGAAGTGGTTATGTTAAAGCTGTCGCGCGCATATTTCGGCGCGCAAAAGTCTGTGCGGCATTGCTGATCGATACTGCTACCGGTAACACCAAGAGAAAAACGCCCGCCACCTTGCTTTCTGTGACTCCCCCCCCAACCCAACCTCTCTTCGCGACAACCATCACTGCAACCCCCTGTTCCTCTCCACACCCCGAAAACAACCAAGAGCAACAACACGTTAACCACGTGCACAATGTGGATGCCACCTCCGTACGTACGAAGGTTTATACTCCACCTCCGTCCTTGCTGTCTCTTCAGCTGGTTTCGCGCCCGCGACGACAGTCTTCCTTGCTGTCCTCCCAACTGGTATGGCGCCAGCGATGACACTCCTCCTTGCTGTCCTCTCAACCCATGTTGCTCCCGCGACAACACTTCGTCTTCCTGCTCCCCTTCCCACATCCCGCCTTGGTGTCCTCCCAACTGGTATTGTGCCAGCGATGACACTCCTCCTTGCTGTCCTCTCAACCCATGTTGCTCCAGCGACATCACTTCTTCTCCCTGCTCGATTATTATAGTAAGCGGCTGTTTAAGGTGGTTTCATGATCCGACATGCTTCAATGTATTTGCGGAAATGCTGCTACGGCATATTTAGCATGAGGCAATTTTCCGTTGTTGTTTCATTGGAGTACATTTCGCGTACTGCTATGTAGTGCATGTAGAGTAAATGTGCCCTTTAAGCCCCATTCCCCTCTAAGCCCCAGTGCCGATATTTCGTCGGCAAATGAGCAGAAACACATTCCGTTCTTTTGTAGTGGTTGATCAGACTCATACGCGTCGTTTAAGCCCACGTTTGCCTCGATCGGCAAAGTATTACGGTACCCACAGGGTTTCTAAATATTCTTGCAAAATGTGCCACAGTCAGGATTCTTTTGATAAGATCTCTAGCTTTATACTGTGTAAAGTACAACAAAATGGATATACGGGCTATCCTGACACGGGGAAGATTGTGGGTTCGAGCCTGAGCCTGACTTCCCTTGTTTTTTGTTTTTTTTGTCTGTTCTGTGATTTTTTTTTAGCCGATTTTGCCCTAAAATCGGCAAAAACTTACAGCTATGCCATAAATAGTAAGTAAATTAACTCCAATCGCAACGAAAAGTTGCACATCGCCTATTCAAAGTGTACTAAACACAATGCGAAAAAAAGAAGAAAAAAAAACATCCTGCAGTCACTAGCGGTGCGCCCAAAGTTGAGGCCTTTTGTTCGTATTTCTGGGCCAAAAAAAACGGGGATACGTCGATTTTGTCCCCGGGTGTTGATGAGAAAAAACAAAATGTAGTGAAGTCTTTCTCTTACATATATCATTATTATTTCATTTGCCCTCCGACAAATACAGATAGACATGCACTTACATATATAAAATACAAGCATACATTCCAAACATAGACTGCATCCCAAATGACATAATAACCAAGAAAATCGTGACATATATCATTGTTTGTGCCAAATAACAGCTTCAATCGCCCAGTACAACGTGAACAATCGGAATAAGACCAAAGTGGGGCTTAATGGGTACAGGGGCGTATTTTGCTGTATTTTTATGGCTGACCGCACTGGCTCTATCGCCTCTCTTACTACGTTTTTTTTTTTTTTTGCTAGCCTGATTGACGTGAAGTATAGCTATGCTAGCCTGATTGACGTGGAGTATAGCTATCACCTAGTATTAACACTTTTCGATAACTCGTATTATTGACGAAGACACAGCGTTGGCTCCTTAGGTGGGGCTTAAAGGGTACATTTACTCTACGCTTACTCAAGGAGTGTTTTAGGCTGCGTTGCATGCACTGATTTGTGTGAGGCTTGAAAGCGATATACCTGCAACGAATGTATGCCGTTGTGGTAGCATTATAGTGTGATGGTATTACGGGGGTCTAACCAGATTATGCGGTGCGGCAGGTGCCTTACACCGTTGCAGGTCCTTGGGGTCTCCTCGTTCCGTTCCGATCTCTTATTATCAGAGTGAATCCAATAGGCCTGCTGCGGGGTCTCCGCAGACAGTCCAGATACTACGTAGTACCCGATGGGTACTAGACTCGTATCCTATGCCCTAACACTCGGCTACCTCCAATACCATAACACTAGCCCACCCTGAGGGGCCGTAGATGCAGATACAGGAATAAACGAAGCCAAGCGCTCTAGATCCAGCAGCGAGGTTTTGCGGATGTATCAAAGCTGCGGCTTCTCACAAGCCACCCCCGCACCTCCCAAAACGTGAACACTATTCGGGTACAGATGAGGCCCGCACTTTAAAAGATGGCAGTTAAGAACATGAGGGCTCAAAAAATCCGAAAAGTAAGAAGAAGGTGGCCAAGGTGCTCAGATTGCAGGTGCCAATAAGAACAAGAACCCGAATCGAAGTGTTCAAACTCGAGGTCAAGATAAGAACGGGGTCCGTACACGTCACAGAAGATAATAACTTCGGTGGGTTATAGCGTCACCTCCCAGTAGTTTTTTCCGCGACAGGGGGGGGGGTGGGCACCGAAATTAGCGTACCAGGAGGAGGGGGTGGGAATAATGTTGCTCCCTCGCTCTGCGACCCCCTCGGGGTGCGTACCACGAAAGCCTCTGTCTGTTTGCACGAAAAGGGCGATCATGTCGTTGCCCTTGGTGACGTAACTTCACCTAAACAATCTAGCCCTACTCCCCCTTCACGGCCGTATTGATTCCTGGTACAGAGACATTCAGGCTGGAAGTTCTCTCGCCAAAACGTACGGAGGAGAGGGGTGTTCGGCGTCCGCGTTTTGCTGTAGAACAAGGACGAGAGTGGCTTAGAGATATTGGTGGCAACTACGCCGCAACGCGCGAGCCTCAAACATGCTGAAACGGAGTAGTACGGACGGCTGATTTCGTGTTGGACTTCCACATTGTTTGACGATTTTGTCGATATTCTTCAATGCCTTGACGCATGAATCAGGGCCTGTAAATCGGGCGGGTTATACACACCGGCGGCGAGACAGTATGAGAGGATGGACCGATGGTTTTAAGGGGAATACAATACTCCAGGGCACGGACAGCCTGGCAATGGGAGAAACACAGAGGCGTGCGAAGTATATTTAGTTCCAGTGTATGATGATGACTCATGAGCGTGACGATCATCCGTAGAAAAACATATTGTCGACATTAATTAAATGACAGGCCTTTACTTTGCCTGGAAAAAAGACGGGGAGGTCCCCATGAGCCCTACACAGAATACAAACTTGCTTTGGAAGGAGTCAAATAAGGCCAATGGCATGTTAACATACCGTTCTTCAATATTTCAACAAACATCGGGGAAAAAGACGGGGAAGTCCCCATGAGCCCTACATAGAATACAACACCCGTTCGGAAGGAGGTAAATTAGCCCATGTGTTTCAGTATTTCAACAACATCGGACGAGCGGTGTGGTGGACAGCACCCAATATACCCATCAGACAAATTACCAAACACGATCATAACTCCGCAGGCCTACTGCTATAGTCTAATTGGCGCTGCGAAGGTGCCAAGGTGTATGGCCTCCGCTCATGTGCGACAACCGAAAACATCCTAAGAAACTGCATAAATCACACGGGAGCAAAAATTGCCGACAGAAACCACCGCCATCCATCTACTAGGCGGAAAGCTCCGTCCTACGAACATTGAGGGTTGTCGCCCTTTTGAACCTCCTGACCCCCTCCTCGTCGTCTTCTTCCAGCAGCACCTACGACCCAACGGCGGCGTTTACCGACGTGCTGTATGACTCCAACGGCAACTTCATGCCTTGTGTGTCCCTGTCGGCGTGCAGAATGACATGGTAGTCGTACTCGTGTCGTGTCGTGAGCTGAGGTGAGCTCTGTGACTAGAACCCCTCCGAACCAACCTAGTCCAAGCGTTACGAGCAAATAACGCTTCACCAACGACTGATCTAGGGACTCCGTTGGTCTCTTATTAGGGTGTTCTTGAATAGTGTTTTCTTTTTTTGTGAAAGGCCCAGCCTCAATTTCTCACCTCAATAGTTCTTTATTGCGAGGTGTATCTGTACTACGACTTATAGTAATTTCGTAAGGATCGCCTGCTGCCCGTGCACATAAATAACCCCGTGCACATAACCCCATTCAAACCCCCACAGGCAGTCGCTGAGCCCCCCAAAGATAGCTAGCCGCCTGTGCTTCCCCCGCTGCAGTATACGCGGCTGGTGTTCAGGCGCGGTTGCCACCGAGGTGTCGTGCCACTGTCGCCCTTGTTGTCGAGGGGGGCGGGCCGAACACCCCTCTTCCTCCGCACGAACGGGTGATGAAAGCCCGGCCTGGCAATATATCTGGGGCGGGAAATATTGGGGGCGGTGGGGTGTTATGACTGAAGTTGTGCAAGTGAAAAACCACACCTTCAAAAGTCCGGGGTAGACTGCGTTTCCGACCGCTTATCCGGGAGCGGGGAGCGAGGCCAGCTGCCTGTAGAAGCTACAAATAAACAATCCCACCTTCAAAAGTCCTCCCGTAGAGCACGCCTCTGACCGCGGGCCTCCGCGGAAGCCTCTCCTCCATGCTGCCCGCCGCCCGCCCCCTCCTCGGCCTGGGCTTGACCGACTCCGCCCTCGCCCCCTATGACTTCGGCTGGGGCGCCACGGGTGGCCTCCTCCTCGATTTCCAAAGAGCCTCCTCTGGTCCCGGCCCCACCTGCAATGAGATAATCGCAAAACACACACACCGTCACAAGTCCGGTGGAAGACTGCGTTTCCCACCGCGTATCTGGGAGCGGGGAGCGAGGCCAGCTGCCTGTAGAAGCTACAAAATAAACCTGCATTTATCACAACAAAAACACATCTTCAAAAGCCCTCAGGTAGACCACGATTCTGGCCGCGGGCCTCCGCAGGAGCCCCTCCTCCGTGCAGCCCTCCGCCCGCCCCCTCCTCGGCCTGGGCTTGACCGACCCCACCCTCCGCCCGCCTCCTCAATTTCCACAGAGCCTCCTCCGGCCCCGGCCCCACCTTACGATTTAAGTTTGTGCAATGATATATCGTAAAAACACCTTCAAAATGTTGGGTGGTAGACTGCGTTTCCGACCGCTTGTCCGGGAGCGGGGAGCGAGGCCAGCTGCCTGTAGAAGCTACGAAACAAACAAAAACACACCTTCAAGAGCCCTCCAGTAGACCACGCTTCTGACCACGGGCCTCCGCGGGGGCCTCTCCTCCATCCTGCCCGCCGCCCGCCCGCCCCCTCCTCGGCTTGGGCTTGGACGACCCCACCCTCGCCCCCTCCGACGTAGGCTGGGGCGCCACAGGTCAATTTTTACAGAGCCTCCTCCGGTCCCGGCTCCACCTGCAATGATATAGGGTAAAAATGCACACCGTCACAAGTCTGCGTTTCCGACCGCTGATCCGGGAGCGGGCAGCGAGGCCAGCCTACTTCAGTACTACACACCAAACACACCTTCAAAAGCCCTCCGGTAGACCACGCTTCTGGCCGCGGGCCTCCGTGAGAGCCTCTCCTCCGTGCAGCCCTCCGCCCTCCCCCTCCTGGTCCGCTGGCTCGGCTTGGGCATGACCGGCTCCGCCCTCGTGCTCTCCGGCGGCGGCCGAGGCTCCACCGGCGGCGGCATCCTCTGCTTGGGCTTAGACCCTCCGACTCCACCCTCGCCCCCTCCGACTTCGGCCGAGGCTCCACCGGCGGCGGCATCCTCTGCTTGGGCTTAGACCCTCCGACTCCACCCTCGCCCCCTCCGACTTCGGCCGAGGCTCCACCGGCGGCGGCATCCTCTGCTTGGGCTTAGACCCTCCGACTCCACCCTCGCCCCCTCCGACTTCGGCCGAGGCTCCACCGGCAGGCTCATCCTCGTTTTCCACAAAACCTCCCCCGCCTTCGGTCGCAGCTTGAACAGTGAGGACGAAAGATTCGGGGAGTGTGTCAACGAGCTGTGGGTATCAACGGGAAGAAACTACACGTCTATCAAAAAGGGAATTGATCATCATCCACGCACCTTCTGCAGCTTCGTCTGCAGAAACGCTCTTGCTCCGCCTGCTGCTCTTGCTGCAGCTGTTTCTACAGACGACGCTGCTGGTGTTGCTGCTGCACCTCGTTTTTATGTATTATAGATAGAGCAGCTGGTGTTATCGCTGGTGTTGTAGCTGGTACCGCTCTTCCCTCTGCTGGCACTGCTGCTGGNCCCACGCACCTTCTGCAGCTTCGTCTGCAGAAACGCTCTTGCTCCGCCTGCTGCTCTTGCTGCAGCTGTTTCTACAGACGACGCTGCTGGTGTTGCTGCTGCACCTCGTTTTTATGTATTATAGATAGAGCAGCTGGTGTTATCGCTGGTGTTGTAGCTGGTACCGCTCTTCCCTCTGCTGGCACTGCTGCTGGCGCTGCTGCAGAAAAAGCTGGTGCAGCTCCGCAAAAAACATGTCGGAGGGGATGGCGGGGGCGGCGGGAGCTACGGCTGCGTCGGCNCGGGGGTGGCGGGGGTGGCGGGGGCTGCGGCTGCGTCGGCGGCGGTGGTGTCCTCTTTCTCCTCTTGCTCCACGTGGGGTTCATCGCCCGCGTCAACCTAAACAGAAGGGAGCGAGAAGGCATGTGTTCAAAAGCACTTTCAGTGGGAGAAACGGCTATTGCTTCTTCTCTTGAGCCTCGTTGATCGATCAGAGGAGAGACCGTGAGTAAGCAAAAAAGCAGCAGCGGCAGCAGCAGCGGCGGCGGCGGCGGCGGCGGCGGCGGCGGCGGAGCGGCGGCAGCAAACTACTGACGTCGATCNATAGCAAAAAAGTAGCAGCAGCAGCAGCAGCAGCAGCGGAGGCGGCGGCGGCGGAGCGGCGGCAGCAAAACACTGACGTCGATCCTTCTCATTTTATTTTCTTCGTGTGTTTCGACTAGAGGCTACGCGTTCGATGCGTTGCCACAGACGACGCTTGCTGCAAAACGCGAAAATTGGCTGGATCCGCGCATGAACCTTCTACTGAAAGGAGAGCAGGCAATGCTGCTTGAGTTATTTAAAACTCGAAAATTAACCTTAATTTGCTGGAGAACCAAAATTTTAGCTGAATTCCAGTTTTAAATCACAGGGGAAGGTAACCCAAATTAACCTTCATTTCTGGAAAAATGTAGCTTCAGGGCTCCAGAGCTCCGAAGCTACATTTCTGTTCCGGAAAACAGCCCCGGNCGTTGCCACAGACGACGCTTGCTGCAAAACGCGAAAATTGGCTGGATCCGCGCATGAACCTTCTACTGAAAGGAGAGCAGGCAATGCTGCTTGAGTTATTTAAAACTCGAAAATTAACCTTAATTTGCTGGAGAACCAAAATTTTAGCTGAATTCCAGTTTTAAATCACAGGGGAAGGTAACCCAAATTAACCTTCATTTCTGGAAAAATGTAGCTTCAGGGCTC